GACCTCCTCCCGCCGTGCACCCCGAGATACACCAACCATTTCCTTTCCCCCTCCTGCTCCGTCCCCATAGCACCGCTTGGTGGCTCCCCCCCCCCTCCTCCCCAACTTTTCAAACCACTGAATATACGAGACTCCAAAACTTAGGACAGCCGACTGCCATGACCGCCGGGAGACGCAGTTGATGAAGACCCAAACCAGGACGCAACGGCTAGACGGAACTTAGGATTGTGAAAGACTAATGGTTTTTATGATGTCTCAATGTTACATACACTGTAAAGTACTAGTTTTTGTTCACGTTTGATAAAAGGTCCTGAACGGACCTAAAACTGAAAACAGGCACCAAACGGTCCATGATCACCAGACCATCCGACAAACCTTTTACTCTTCATTGTATAACTCACTGTAATGTATGTTGCATATGGACCCCTGCGAGGGCCGCCTTTTGCTGGTCAGTGGTACTTGGTGTCGAACTAAAAATAAAGAATTTAAAAAAAATATATATATTATGTATGCTACAAAATTCTCATAATAAAAAATAATAAAAAATTAAGATAGTGTATAAAGCATACGTCAAATTATAAAAAAAATTGAATAAATCAAAATCCACATTGAGACCTTTGGGGTGTAGAGTATCTAGATGGTACACCCATTTCATCTCTGGCTTTCCGATCTGTTTTATGATGTCTCCTCCTCTCCAATGATTTTTTACAATGGCAATACCCGTGAAAGTGAGTTGTTTAGGATTTTTTCCATGTATATAAAAATGTGATGAAACAGAGTGATTAACATAACCTTTTTCTATGTTCCTACAATGTTCGGCTATTCTCACTTTCAATGGTCTTATAGTTCTGCCAATGTATTGGAGCCCACACGGACATTCCAATAAATAAATAACATTTTTGCTGTTACATGTGATGATGTCTTTAATATCATAGGATTTACCTGTATTATTAGATTTAAAAGCAGTAGTTACTTTAGACGTAGGTTTCGTCTTTTTGTATGCCAAACAACAATTACATTTAAAAAAAACTTTTTTATTTGTTAGAAAATTGTCAAGTTTATTAGGAATAACCCTCGTGTAATTTTTTGTAACATGCATCTTTAGGTTGGGTGCTCCTCTAAATATTATTTTTGGTTTGTCTGGTATGAGCTTGCCTAATATGTCGTCTTCTTTTAAAAGGTGCCAATGTTTATTAAAAATGCTTCTAAGTTGTTTATTCTTGTTATTAAAATCTATCACAATAGGTAATGTAAAATCTTGTTTACGTTCTATTTTTGTTTTCTGTATTAGATCTTTTCTATTTAGAGATAGAGTATGTTTAATAGTGTTTTCTACATTAGTAGTTTTATAAAATTTCTGGATGAATCTATTTTTTAACTCTTGTGCCTGTTTTTTAAAAATTGGAGTTTCGGAGCAGTTCCTTCATTTGACTTTTTGGTATGCTCTCCAACCATGCTTTATTGTGACAACTATTGGTGTTGATATAGTTATTTACATGCACGTCTTTAAAATGTGTTTTTGTGTGTATTTTTCTATCTGTAATGTATATGTCTAAATCTAAATAGGTTACCATCGTGGCACTATCATTTACTGTTGACTATGCCTTGATTATTATTTAGAAAAGATATAAAGTCTTGTGAGGAGGAGATAGGACCTTTCCACACAAACAAGAGATCATCAATATAGCGGACATAGGACACCAGGCTTTTCCACCCAGTCATGCCCCCTCCAGGCCGCACGATCCTCCCAATCGGTCATGTAGAGGTTGGCATAACTGGGTGCAAACCTGGTGCCCATAGCTGTACCTGTGTTTTGAATGTAAAAACTATAATTACTATAGAGGGATCATTATATAGATCTTTCAGTACTTGTCTCTCTCTTTTACTAATATTAGATTTATCACCTGCCCTGTCATTCAAAGTTTTCAAGTCTCTGCAGACCTTTTTTTCCCCAAAATGTCTAAGGCACAGGACTTGAAATGAGCCGGGTAGAAGGTTGATCTGTTCTTTAACGAACTCCTTTGATAGTTGGTTATGTTATCATTTTCTTTATTGGTACCTAGGGTGTTGGTAGATTCTTTCTTACGTAAAAAAAATCGTTTTAATGTGGTGTTCCTCACGAACTTATTAACGTCAATATATGTTAAAAAAGAATCATAGTGTCTAGTAGGAGCAAATTTGAGGCCCTTTTTGAGTACATTAACCTGGATGTTATTCAGAGGTCGGTTAGATAGGTTAAAAATATTTGTTTAGGTTTCTATCGGTTCTTTACTTAAAATCTCTCTACTCTTCCTTTTTTGTTCCATTCTACCTGATCTTGTTCCTCTAGGTCTCGTTTACGGCTTTTTATGGGTGTAATATTTAGGCGATTCGTATGTTTTTCTCTGTTTGTGGCAATTTCCAAAAAAGAGGTCTCATCGAATGGCTCACAAAAGGATAGAGCATACTGGTTGGTTTTAAGATCGTGTATTGGTGAATTAGACCTCACCTCCTCATGGCTCCGATCTGTTTTAGTATTAACTCTTTCCCATGAGTTTTTCTGTCTTTAGGTTTGAATTTGGGAGAATCTGGTATATATGTAAACCTATGTGTTTTGGGTCTTACTATTAAAGGTGATTCATCCATGCTTTGTTTGTGATAACGATATTTATTTTGTTCTTCCTTTTTTTCTATTGGGTGTTGAAAATTAGTATTTCTTTTAGTTTCAATGAGTCTCCTTGGTGGTCTAGTGTCCTCATAATTTACTCGTGTTTGATTGTGTCTTTCTGTGAATTTCGTTGGTGATCTATGTCTATATTGTGTTCTTGTTTGGGGATAATTTGGTTTGTAGATTTCTCTACTTTGTAATCTCCGTGATCTAATATTGTTTCTATCTGTTGTGCCATATGAGTTGTTTTTTGTGGATACCTCAGCATTTTTCCATTTTTTTGTGTTTGTATTGTATACCGCAGCCTTTACTATAATATAGCGAGCACCTACACCTCTTGTTTTATATATATATTTATTATCGTGGACTTGCAGATTTCTATATTGCAACAGCTTACATTTTAGCTCAAGTTTGCCTTTGGACCCATTTCAGGTTGGGTAATAAGATCCCTCATTTATTGAGGAACACTATAGTTAATTGTTACAAAATATTTCTTTGAAGGAGAAAAAAAAAAAAAGATAATTTTACTTAGCATTTTAAAGAAATTGGACCTCTTTTGAACATTGTTTCCTTATATATTAAATTCTCTTTTTAAGCAGTCTTACAAAGAGGTATTGACTTTGAACTTTTGATTAAAGTCCACTTAAAGCATTACACAGTGAATGTTCTGAGTGTAGCTTCTTATTGTGAGAAAATAAATGAATCTCTTCATTATCTTATCTTAATGGGAAACAGCAATACAGGCTAAGAATTTCCTTCCATTGTGAGCTGAAACTTATCTATTGTCTCACTCTCCAGATTTTAGTTTAACACCAGCAATTTATCTTCTATTTGTCTCATAGGGAAGCATATGAGCTAGAATTTGTAAATAAAAATGTCTAGTTCTCTGGCGGTTGTCACCTACCCAGTAATTAATTCATCCATGAGAATGTTCATAAGTTAAGTAAAACAAGCTAAAACAATTTCCTAAAGTGAAGACAATTGTTAGAAATGTAAACAAAGTTTAGAAAGAGAGAAAACTATGTGTTATTAAGCACATTTCAGTTGTATTGGAGAATGCAACTGAGTCTTTAGATTAGACTTTTTACCTGAAGTCCAAAGGCTGCTGCTCCCCACTTCCACAAGATCTACAGGAGGACCCAAAACTCTGGCTTACAAGCTTCTATTAACTCTTCTGAGCTAAGCCCTGCAGCATAGGGATGACCGCATTATTGGCTGACCGCATCATTTGATTGATCTCAGCCAGTGAGCTAAGCTCTGTACCACTGAGATTCGCTCAGTCAGAGAGCTTATGGCTCTTTGTACTTAAAGTGGAAGATGGCAGCGGTACTCAGTGGACCCTACGTAAGAAGGTAAGTTTGACCACTTACAATGGGGGGATAGGGCCACAGCGTGCAGTAGTGGGTTTAGTGCTTGGAGTGTTCCTTTAAGTATTAGCTTTTCCTCAAATTACATACACCAATCAATACAGTTTGAGCATCTTTGCAACTTTTGTATAACAAAGATTATTGTCATGAAACACACTGACCATGGGAAAAATGTAGCACTTTAAACACATTTCTTCTACAAAATGTTGTTAATCATATTACTGCATCACTTTCCATGTCAAATGTTGCCCTAAGGAACCTTAGCTTTAGTCCTGGGGCAGCTGACCACCTTTCACCTGCTTTGACAGTTACCAGAGTCAAGTAAATAGACTGTAGCAAACAGGTGACTTCATATAGCCAATAAAGCCATCGTGAGTAGTCTTTTCTATAACACCAACACAAGATATATAATGCTTACCTAGATGTTTAATAATAATAATAATAATCTCCTAAATGTGACCTTTTTATTAAAATGCAATACCATACATAGTGTAGTAGTAACTGGAATAACAGTAACTCCCACACTTAGACTAATCAGAAATCTATACTAATGATATACTTACAAGAGACAGGAAAAACAAAAAAATAAACCCAAAAACTAAGCAGCTGGGATAGAGGCAGATAGAATGCTGAAGGCATGTGTTGCACTGGCAAATGGGGATTTTTGAAAAATTGACAACCTGATATAAACCACTGCCTCTCAAGAAGAGAGAGCTTAGATCAGAACTAAAAGGAGCACCGTCAGAGACACATAGGAGGACAGAGGCTGAACCCTACTGGCCGGACCTGTTCAAAAAGTGTTTTGGCGAGCATAAAATAAAAGTACAGCCTGCTAAAACAGTATCCAATCCTTCTGCTGTACAGGACAGAAGAAAAAAGGTTGCTATGGAATGGGCTGCTTGTTTTGTACAAACATAAGAATATCTTTTCTACTGTGAGTGGACAGAGCTATCCTATTCGTTCAGCAATCAGGGAATTTTTTTGTTTTGTTTATTAAACATAGGTCTTTGTATACCAAAAGCTTGGAGGTAAATTGTGCTAGAAACAAAATACAAAAAAGTCATTATTTTACATATCAACACTTACAGAAATGTTCTTTATTCCCTTATTTTAGTCAACCAACTGAAAGTTATTTTCAAAAAACAAACAAAAATACTTCACATTAATATATTTTAAAATAGTTTGCTTAAGATCATCACAGTTTTAATAATAATCTGTGCTGCTGCATTGATGCAACCTTTTAATAACTCAGCAAACAATTCATCTAATGTTGGTGGACATCAATGGAAGACAAGAAGATAAGTTGAGAGGTGCAAGACCTTTTTCTGAAATCATTTTAAACGGTTAGGGTCTCTCTTGAAATTTTCAGTAGCCATGAGGATAATAAGTCGGCATCTCAACAGAAATGGAACAGTGCTGCTTTCACAGTTATGGTGCATCTAGATAGACAACCAGCATTCTTCTCTCTGAAGGCAGACCTATGTCTGAGTGCGACTTGAGGTTTCAGTGCCAACGCTCAGGATTGAACTGTCATTGGGGTTTATATCTGGAACATCAATGTCCTTGCTCCAATCTTGGTTCAAATCTTCAAAATCCCACTGCAAGAAAGGTGAAAATTTAGAGATCATTTGCTTCCATGTTATACTATTACCACATGTACTCGAGTATAAGTCGACCCAAATATAATTTGAGGCCCCTAATTTTACCACAAAAAACTGGGAAAACTTATTGACTCGAGTATAAGCCTAGGGTGGGAAATGCAGCAGCTACCGGTAAATTTATAAATAAAATTATATCCCCCCAAAATTATATTAATTGAATAGTTATTTACAGTGTATGTATATAATGAATGCAGTGTGTGTGTGTTTGTGTAGTGTATGTATATAATGAATGCAGTGTGTGTGTGTGTGTGTGTGTGTGTGTGTGTGTGTATATAATGCAGAGTGTGTGTGTGAATGTATGCAGTGTGAGTATATAATGCAGTGTGTGTTTGTATGAATGCAGTGTGTGTTTGTATGAATGCAGTGTGTGTGTATAATGAATGCAGAGTGTGTGTGTATATGATGCAGAGTGTGTGTGTGCGTTTGTGTAGTGTGTGTAAACTGGGTGGGGGGAGGGCATTTTTATTATTTAAATATTTTTATTATTTTAATATTTTTATTATTTAAATATTTTTATTATTTTAATATTTTTATTATTTTTTTTATTGAATTGTTTAATTTTATTTTTAGCCCCCCTCCCTGCTTGTTACCTGGACAGGGAGGCGGGCTATGTGAATCCCTGGTGGTTCAAATTAGGATATATTCCAAAACCAAAGAGCAACATATTATGCCCTATTACTAAACAAATTGAGAGCTCAACTCACCTCCCCACTCTGTGTATCAAAGATGTACAGTTTATATAGTAAATAAAATAATTTATGGGCATGGGCTGTGCAGGGGGGGGGAAGGGGGCAGAGCAAGCTCTTACTTACCTATGTAGCGGCTCCGGTCAGCACTGTTCAGCTCCCCCGTTCAGCTCACAGTGTAAGTCTGACGGCCGCAGGTGTCGCGAGACTTACACTGTGAGCTGAACAGAGCTGAACAGAGCTGACCGGAGCTGCTACAAAGGTACGTAAGAGCTTGCTCCGGCCCCCAACAAGTAAGTTGCCATAATACAGACCTTGACTCGAGTATAAGCCGAGTGGGGCTTTTTCAGCACAAAAAATGTGCCGAAAAACTCGGCTTATACTAGAGTATATATAATTTAGAAAGCACAAAACATAAAATAAATATTACACCAAGTTAATGCACACAAAAAATACTTGCAAATGGAGACCAAAATTGGAACCTATTACAGTATGCTTATACGTCCATTATTCCCCCACCCCTCTATGCCCCCCCCTTTTTTCTCCTCTAATCATGTTGACTCTTCACTCTGTTTCTCAGAGACACCTCTACTCGATATACATCTCTCCTCGTCATTAATGGGAAGGGACAACTGAAGACCACACATGTATATGTGGGATGTAGTGACATAGTTGGTATGCACTGAAAGAAATTCTCCAGGCACTCAAGGTGTTAAAGCCGCAGGCAGTTTTAATTAAACAAAAAAGAACAGCAACGTTTCTACCTACTATGAGGTCTTTGTCAAGCCTTGTAGGTTAAAACGTTGCTGTTCTTTTTTTGTTTCATTAAAACTGCCTGCGGCTTTAACACCTTGAGTGCCTGGGGAATTTCTTTCATTGCCTTGTCGTTGTGGGATTGCTGGTCCTGCTCCGGAGCACCGGGTAGCTGCTGGAATTGAGTGCGGCTCCTACCTTCACTTTTGCAACATAGTTGGTGTGCACAACCAAATAGAGCGATAGAGACTCACAATATTAATCTTCCATACGGTATCATAATCTTTCGCTAGTTTTACTATTACCTATTCACCCCTGGTACACTTAGGGGTATTGTCATAGAAATAGTGGCGCATATACTCAGGTATTTCTGCAAGGGAAACTCACTTACTTGGTTGTAATTGATGTAACTTAAAAACATTGTTTACTAATATGACACTGTTATTCTATGATTGAACGCTATTGCAATGTTCGGGACCTGCGTGTCTCTTTATATTAATCTCTGATTCATCATTACATATTCTGAAAAATCAATAAACTGATTTAAAAAAATAGATATATTAAATTGAAGTTTAAAGATAGAAGATGCCACTGGGAAGGTCATCCACAGAGTTATAAATAACACCCTTATAATTACATATGTATGTAGGATATCACGACAATCTTCTATAATGCTCATAATACCCTCAGCCCTAAACTCGTTAATAGAAACTGAAGCCATAAAGTTTGTGGTTATAAAGTGTCCTGAACAAATGTTGAAATGATCTTCGAATATTTTCCATTGGAGCATGCCAAAGAGGGGCATTCATAAGACAGCCTGCAAAGTATATGACACTTCACTGGCTTGTGAATGGACAAATTGTATGTAGAGAATGTTAGCAGACACACCGTGCAAATTAATAGTCTCACTAAATCAACAGCATGAAATAATGGTAACTGAGGACTTGGCTGTGTGTTGGTTTTCCACTGCAGATATGTATTAAAGGGACACTATAGTCACCAAACAACTGTAACTTAATCAGTTTTTGTGCATAGATCATGCCTCTGCAGTCTCACTTCGACATTATCTGCCATTTATGAGTTAAATCACTTTTGTTTCTGTTTATGCAGCCCTAGCCACATCACCGGTAGCTGTGACTCACAAAGCCAGCATGAAAACAAAATGGTTTAATTTTCAATCAGATGCAACTTACTTTAAATATTTTCATCCCCTGCTCTGTAAATTGAACTTTAAGTACATGCAGGAGGCTCCTGCAAGTGATAAGAAATTCTAAATTTAACAGACTTTGCAATAAAGGAAGTGCAAACATTAGATGAAAGTTACAGGAAGTGTTAAGGAAGGCAGTGTATGTCACATGCATGGAGGTGTTACTATGGCTGCATAAAGTGATTTAAATTCTAAATGGCATAGAATTTAGCAGTGATGCTGCAGGGGCATGATCTATACACCCTTTAACGGTAAATCAAACTCAAGTAGAGGAACACAAGTAATGCGACTAACGTGTTGATTAAGAAAGCAACCAGTATGTGATTTCATATATATATTCATATAACTAATGTGAGTGTATCCACATTATAAGCGCCATGCCCCTTCCTTGCGTGTATTATTTACCACAAATCTTCTACATCAGAGGCTAAAATGGATAAATCCTTTTTAACGCAAGTTTACTAATCATCATTTACTGCATACTTCAAACAGTATGAAAATCAAGGCCCAATAATGTAGATATCACATAATCCAGTAAAGGCATGGCAACCCTTTACAGAAATAGTAATTGTCATGAATGAGGTAGTAAAGCATATATAAACTGTGTAACCATGGATCACTATTTGCGATTTAAGCAGCTATACAGTTACACAGAAGGAAGCTTTCACTAATTAGGTCCTAGGAGAAATCGGTTGATATATTTACTTTAGAACAATCAATGCAGTAATTTGTAGGGTATCTGATTCTAGCCTCTAGAGGCAATTCTGGATATTATTTTCACATAAATGTAATGCTCCATACACAGAGCAGAATATAGGCTCTGAATTTAACTTTGGATATGTAGTTTTAATATTCTGTAGAGCTTAATTTCCCTTGTGCTGTGGCACATGGTTAAACTGAAAAGTGATTGCTCCTGGCATCTAAATATCTTAAATCTGATTTGCTGCAATTAGAAAATCCAAAGATTAATTAAACAGATTGACTCTGATACTACATATACTTAACAAATGTACTAAGAGGCAAAGCATACTCAAGTGAAGCTATACATACTACTGTATTATAATACATGTTTCAATGGCGTGTTGGAGGTTAACCATTTGTGTGCCAGAACAGCACATAATGTAGATCAAAGCATTGTACTGGTCAACTCACAGGCACTCAGGTGGTTAACAGCAGCTTCAGGCCCCCTCCACAATATAGCCGGAGTGATCAAAGACTTGCAAAATGTCCAAGGGATCCAACGTATGCCAGCTCTCAACCCAACCAGAAAATTAAAAGGTGTATTCTCACGTAACCAGCCAGCATAGATTTCCTGAGGGCATCACCACTGGCAAATGTCGGTAACGTTATAGTACATGGTCCTACAGGACACTACTTGTTCAAATATTTATATGAACAGTAAGATCAAAAACAAAAAGTTGGATAAAAATCAAATAATTCTATAAAATTGCTATAAAAAATAAAAAAATAGGTTGCAAAATCAGGCCACCGCAAGCTATTTGTGGCATGCGAGATGTGTGCAATAGCTCCATTCTGTGTAACAAAAGTCTCATGGTATTACTATGGAAATAGGTATACATTATCAAGCATGGGACTTTAAGGGACACTATAGTCACCAGAACAACTACAGCTTATTGAATTTGTTCTGGTAAGTAGAATCATTACCTTCAGGATTTTTGCTGTAAACACTGTCTTTTCAGAGAAAATGCTTTGTTTACATTACAGCCTAGTGATAACTTCACTGGCCATTCCTCAGATGGCTGTTAGAGATCCTTCCTGGGTCATGGCTGCCTAAAATGCATCCAAACATTCAGTATCTCTTCCCTCTGCATGCAGAGACTGAACTTTCCTCATAGAGATACATTGATACAATTAATCTCTATGAGGAGATGCTGATTGGCCAGGGCTGTGTTTGAATCATGCTGGCTTTGCCCCTGATCTACCTCTTTGTCAGTCTCAGCCAATCCTATGGGGAAGCACTGTGATTGGATCAGGCTACCACGTCTGATGATGTCAGCAGACTGATGTTTTTCTGAGGCAAACAGCATGCAGATCTACAGCTTCTGGCTTGAATACAGTAAGATTTTGCTATATTTATGGAGGCATGAGGGGCCCAGGGGGCTAGATGGTGGTTTTAACACTATAGGGTCAGGGATACATGTTTGTGTTCCTGACCCTATAGTGATCCTTTAAGTGGAGATTTTTGGTGGCATGCACGTTGGTTCAATCTGGTTCACCAAAGCTGTCAATATTTTATTCTCTGTGAAGTGACACATAATTATAATCAATTATTGATTTAAGACATGTTCAAGTGAAATATCCAGTTTTTATTTGGTTTTATAAAGCAAACACAGAATCAGAAAAGCAAACAGAAAATAATATGAAACCATGGTCAACAAATAAATGTTTGAAGACATGTTATATTTTGAAGACATCTCAACTCAATTATTTCAGCACTTTTACATTTGATCACATTATTTGGGTAATTGCATACTCTTTTAGGAGGAACACTTCATGGGGGGAAAAAAAATAAAAAAAAAAATTAATTGTATATAATTTTAACAATTTAGTAGTAGTGTCTTCTGAACCAGATGGTGCTCACTGCATGTAAAAGAGCATGTAAAAGAGACACAATATAGTGTAGTAGGTACTTATGCTTAGTGAAGAAAATATAGAAACGCACTTTTTTTTGAGCTTCTGATCAGCGGGGGTCATACCGCTTGGGCAGTATGATCCCCGCCTGTGGATGTACTGGTGCAGCAACAATTTTCCAGGAAGTGTGTCAGGATCCAAGTGTAATTAAAAGTATACTCTTTTTATTACATAAATTATAAAAATACACGGGGGGGAGCAGGGCCTAGCCACTGAGCTGACTCGTTACACTAAGCGTGAGCTCCAAGTGAGAACCACAATTAAGCTGCCTTTTCCGACCAAAAGTTGATTTTTAGTGCTGGAATGTATCAGGATTACCTGGAGCCGCAACCTGTAAGGTTTTCGTGCTCTGCATAGCGAGCTATACTCGACAACACATTGCAGCCTACCAGCGGCTGTGAGCGTGGGAGAGGCGGCCGCTCTCCCTGCTAGCTGGCCAGCTGAAAAAAAACGAGGTGGTCGGGACACCCGTTTTCCCCCCTTGCCGGTGGGGTATATCACGGCACAAACATACAAGCTTGACTTCTATGCGAAACAAGGAACAGCGCAACCCCTGAAACTCATGCTCTGCTCCGACACCGAGGACAAGATGAGCAACAAGCCCTCTGGAGACCTTTGAGAAACGACTAGAGGTTCACTTCAGTGAATTTTGGCGGAAGCTGTTGTGTAGAGGGGCAAAAGCTGCAAGAGAGCTGTGGAGAGGGGACAGGCGGTTTAACTCACCTCCAGACCACAAGTACCTGATGGCTGACAAGTGTCAGAGTCCACCAGCGCCTTCTAAACCTCGAAAGCCATAAGGAGGGTAGCATACCCACGCATTACCAACTCGCACAACTCAACCAATTGAACTCAACCGATTGGAGGTTAAACATTTGTGTGCCAGAACAGCACATAATGTAGATCAAAGCATTGTACTGATCAGCTCACAGGCACTCAGTTGGTTAACATCAGCTTTAGGCCCCCTCCCCAATATAGCCAGAGTGATCAAAGACTTTCAGAATGTCCAAGGGATCCAATGGAAGCCAGGGGAGCAAAGCTCCACCACTCCCCTGAAGCCCAAAAGAGATAACACAAAGCCTGTATCTGTTGGGGGTCCAGCACGGAGGTCCGGGACTCTGACCCATCGGACCCTTCCTGGACGTGACTACTGTAGCCACTAGTGACGTGAACGTGCGTGCGGTGTCATGTTTTCGCCATGCACGCACCTTCTGGGGTCATGGGAACCAAATCAGCCAATAGCAGGATTAACTGGGTTATTTAAACCCAAACCTGCAGTTGTTCAGTGCCCTGTTGTGGTTGCCACCCTGTTGGTTATCCGAGAGTGCGTTCCTGATTTTGTTATTTGTTTTTTGATCTTGGCTTGGCTTGACTTCCCGTATTTCTGGTATCCCTGACCCTTTGGCTTTGTTCTTTCCGTATTTGTTCCTTTCTGTATTCCTGACTTCGTCTCGTTACCGTTTATTCTATTACGTTAATTCCGGCCATTCTAAGGCCCGGTGATACGTTGTTACTGTTTGTATTTGTTACGTGTTTTACTTAATTCTGCGTGTTGGCCCACTGGTACGTCCTGACAATATTAGAGCATATCACATGTAAAGATCCTGCCCTATCGCCATATTTTATATTGTATTGTATATGTAGCATATATTAAGCTTACACAATTCACAACAAAACAACAAAACAAAAATTTGAAACAAGATAAAAAAATTATGTTCTACTAATCAGGTTTGTGCTTTGGATCCCAAAGAAACCATTTTTTAAATTTTTTTTTACAAACTACTTGGAAAATGTTTTGACAAAAAAATGGAGACGCTGCATCCTCAAACCATAGCGACAACAACAAGCTGTGCATGCTATTGTGCCTCGAGTGCCTCTTAAAATGTTAAAATTACATGGGGGAGAGGGGTGTAAGCCCAACAGTGGATAAAAACAGGACTGTGCTAAAGCAGAATAACTGCATTAGAGTTGTCCAAGCACCCACTAACCTGATGTGACCTACTGAGTTTTTCTGACTCTTATACAAGAATGTAGAAAATTTGGATGGGGTTAATACAATATGGAGATTTAACTAAATGACACTCACTGTTCCAGTCCTCCCTTAGACTGTGGGACAGGAATATAAACTAATGTTACTGCAGAGTCCTAGTGGACAACTGTTGCCTCTTAAAAATAGCAACGGGAACAGAGGCGTAACTAGAAGCCATGGTGCAAAAATTGCCCTGGGGCCACCGCCATATTTGCACCCCCCACCCCATACGGCCCTGCCCCATACATGCAGACAAACAGATACACATGCAGACACACATACAAACACACACACACACACATACACAGAGACCCATACATACATACAGACACACATACATACACAGAGACACAGACAGACAAACATACATCCAGACACACACACACACACAGATATACTGATACAGACATTCTCTATCTCACACACACAAACTGTTAAAAAAAAAATGTAGTGACTTACCTGGGGTCCAGTGGCTGCTTCATGCTAATGGGAGTCAGAGCTCCCACTCTGACTCCCTCATCTCCGGCGCTCTGTTTACTGGGAGGAAGTGACAGCTTCCTCCCAGCTCTGACATCATCACTGCGTTCTTAAAGCGCCGCCGCGCTGACCGGGCCCCAGGAAATCCATTGCCATCGGGTGGGCTCCTTCAATGCGGCCCCAGCGGTTTTACGGCGTGGTTGGGGTCGCACCAAAATGCTAGCGGGCACCTCGGTCACAGGGGCCCCTGGAATGACGGGCCCGGTCGCAGCTGCAACCCCTGCGACCGCAGTAGTTCCGCCACAGAATGGGAATGATCATGATCAACCTCCCTTCCTATTCCATTCATCAAAAGAAAAGAAAAAACACAAGAATTCACAATGTCCAGCCCCACCTTTGGGCACCAATACCACTTCAATTCATTTAGTAGGTTTTGGCCTCAGGAATATGCTGTATTTTTTGCATGCTCAAATCGTTATATTTTTTGCATAAAATAAATAAACGTTTTGCAGAATGCTGCAGCTTAAGCCTGCCTTTTTAGCCACTCCCCCTCACTCCAGAAAAATACTTCCTTATCTTTAGACATGCACACAGCTCAGTCATGGACAATACTGAATGATCTGAAGAACAAAACAACCTGCATTAGAAGGAGATGACATATAATAAAGATATCACTATATGTTTATAGTTTATCTGACTGCAAACAGGTTGTGAATTAAAAGCAGCTCACACACTGCTTTTGGGGCTGAGACTGTGTGCATTCATTTGATAGGAAGTCTTTCTGACATGAAGCAAGTGACTAAAGAAGCAGGCTTTTGTTGCAGAATTCTGCAACACAGTTATCTTTGTATGCAAAACCTCTAAAGATTTTAGTATGCAAAAAAATACAGCATTGAGATAATATTCCATATTAATTAATTAATATTAATCCCTTAGTGACCGCAGACGTACAGGGTACGTGAGACAAAAAACAGTCGTTAACGACCGCTGACTGACCCTGTACGTCCGTGGCACATTTGAGAGCTGGAAGCGATCATGATTGCTTCCAGCCAATGATGCCTTGATGTTGAGGTATCCTGCAATACACAATTTCTATTAGATGGTCCCACAGAGACCAACTGATTTAAGCAGCATGGCGTTTTGTCTCGCATTGTACTAGTCTTGGATTGGCTGAGATCATATATCTCGATTATCTCAGCCAAAAAGGCAGAGTTTCACATAGGACACAGGTGCAGTGAGGGAGGAAAAGTAAAACTACCTTTTATTAACCATTGCAGCAGAGGCACTAAAGTGTTCGTAATATATATGTATATTCCTAACGCTATAGTGTTCCCTTAAGGGTGACCAAAAACAGTTCCCCATACTACAGCTTCCATGATGCTTTAAAGATTTAGGTTTAGCAAAGAATCATAGTAGGTGTAATTCTCCAACAAATGGCATCTACCATTGGCCAACCCTGCTTTGGAAGGTAGTCTCTGTATTGTGAAAAATAGGACAATTTTGTAGGGAATTGGATTGTCAGTCACTGATCAGTTTTCAAGCTATGATTGTCTAATAAGAACAACACAGAGTGTAAAATAAGTATTGTAGTGTAATTTTCAGTCCGAGAACCGAGTACTGCTCTAACAAGTAGCTTTATCTACACATCACACGTAAGCATGCATCATGATATTTCTGTTACTCTCGGTATGCAATGCCAAGTGCAAATTTTCAGTATTTGTATCAGTATACATGATGCCTAACAGTGCGTCCGATCCCATACATTATATCTTGCAGTAATTTTATCAATTTAATTGTAGTGGTAGTTGACGTATAATAAAAAATAAAAAACAAGAATTTCTGAAATAACCCATAATCAATAAACATTTATTTAAAACAATGACATATTTAACTATAGTTGTCATTACCATGGAAGCAGCTGCTCCATTTCCTCATTCATCTACTAGTCTCTAGTGGGCAATAAAAGGGAAAAATCCATACGGGACACAGAATTGTCAAAGTCACATTACTAGAATGTATTTTAAAGGGACACTCTAAGCACCAAACCAAATTTAGCTCAAGTGTTTTTTGGTGTATAGATTATGAGAAACATATGTAGATGGATGGTATATTAACCAATAGTTCCCTCTAGTGGCTTATGAGAGTATTACAAATGCAGATTTTTTATCATGTACAATGAAATGAAAACAGCTGTCTGCTTATGTAATTGTCATACTGGCATGAAATGGAAGTCATTTCTAGAACTACTTATTATTATATTTGTTCTGCCTGAATGTTCTGCCATGAGAGCCTAATGTATTTGTTTAGATAAAAGATATGGATTCATAAAAGTTTTACTTTTAGATAAGTAGTGCAGTAATCTAAAAGTGAACCAATCACCATGGAAACCTATAGAACATTATTGATTAAACCATCCACTATTGGAACTTGCACACTTTTATATTAATACAATTTGTGTAAGTCTCCCCCTACAAATGAATAAAGATTCCATCCATTATAAATACTGATCATAATGGAAGACAAGGAAAAAGCGATTATCTGAGGCATTTCGTACGACATTCTCTTTCTCTTGTGCTTCGGTTTAAATCAGGCATGTCCAACCCACGGCCCTAAACCTTTTGTGTGCATCTCAGTTGCCGTCTAGGCTGCCGGGCGGTATGGGAGCCCATTACTTACCGTGCTCTTTCTGCACAACTCCCTTGTGTACACTGCAGTGAGCTGGCAGCTGGGATATGACCCGAGGCGTAACTAGAAATCACTGGTGCAAAAATTGTCCTGGGTCCACCTCCCCATGCGTTTTTATGAGCACTTCCTGTCAGACTGCTTGGCCGCGCTACACACAGTGGCAGATTGGAACAGCACAGCTTTCCCCTCCTGCCTGTAACCCGTAACAGTGCACTACCCTGCAGGTTTGCAGGCTGCCTACGGTTGCAGGGGTCACAGCTGCGGTTGGGCCCCCTGGAGTGACGGCACGGTCGCAGTTCGACCCCTGCAACCATGGTAGGTACGCCACTGGATAGGATTTCATCAGCATCCCTACTGGGCGTGCAAGGGACCTGTGCAGGAAAAGCACAGTGATCTCATCACAGCAGCAACCACTGGTCACCAGATAGAAGATCAACTCCATGCATGGGCGTGCGCAGCCTATTGTATAAGGGTGTGCACCCTAAAGCAGAAACACACACACCCACGTGCGCGCGTGTGTGTGTAGAGATATATATATATATATATATATATATATATCTATATCTATATAGATATATATAGATATATATACACACACATACATACACACACACACACCACCCTCATCCACACACACACTGACAGCACCTTCACACAAACAGCAGTGTGTGGGTGTGTGTGTGTGTGTGTGTGTGTGTGTGTGTGTGTGTATGTATATATATATATATACATACATACACACACACACACCCACACATTGCTGTTTGTGTGAAGGCGCTGTGTATGTGTAAGGGTGCTGTCAGTGTGTGTGTGGATGAGGGTGTTGTGTGTGTAAGGGTGCTGTTAGTGTGTGCTGTGTGTGTGTGCGCAAGGGTGCTGTTAGTGTGTGTATGTGTGAGGGTGTTGTTAGTGGGAGGGTGCTGTTAGTGTGTGTGTACTGTATGTTTGTGTGTAATGTGTGGGGGCCATTTAGTTAATATCCCCCCTCCCTTCTTACCTTATGTAGGGAGGAGGGACCGTGCTCCTGCCTTCCCTGGTGGTTCACTCTCGCGAGATCTGAGCGTTGCCGCGGTAACCGCAGCAATGCTCCGACCGCGTGAGAGGAACCTGGCGGAGCTGCTGGCAAGAGCTTTGATCTTCCTCACCAGCCCATGGAGGGAGGCACATAGCTCGTGCCGCGGGGATTAGGGTGTGCCTAGGCACACCCGGCGCACACGCCTATGACTCCATGTCTCCCGGAGCATTGTAAGGAAGCTGGGTATGCCTCTTAATTACTAAATGTATGTGTATGAATGTGATTTTTGTGTGTGTAAGCCAGTAATTATGTAGTGGTATTATGGAGACAGGCTTGGAGACTATGGTGAGGCCTAATACAGAGCAGTTGTTGTTGGGGGATTCTATCATAAGAGGTGTGGAGATGGACAATGGTGGTCTTGTGAGATATCTTCCCGGAGCTAGTGCTCACAGAGGCAGGCGGCGTATTTGTAATATTGTTAAGCGAGGAAGGGGAATTGGATGTACTTGTCCATCTAGGGACAAATGACTTGGCTTGCAATGAGGTTTCAGAGGAAAAGGACGTTTTTAGTGTTTTTGCCAATTATATACGGCAGCTTGCTTCCACACTGTCATACTCTAAAGTTCTGCCTGTGCATAACACTCAGAATGACAGGCGGATGCTTTTTTAGGGACTTTAACTTGGGGCTTGGTGAATGGTGTCAGAATCAAGGATTTGGCTTTATTTCTCATGGTAGCCATGTTTGGAATTGAAATAAACTGTACAAAAAAGATGGTTTCATGTTCTCAGTGAGCAGTTAAGAGGTTTTGCTAGGATGTATTTAAACTAGGAGGGGGGAGCAAAAGGGTGATAAAACCTCAATCCAATTGCCCCCCAAAACCAGGACAGAAGGTGCCTGTAGCAAGTGTGTTAAAAAATGATAAGCTTAGAGTCATGTCTACAAATGCTCGCAGTTTAGGGAATAAGATCCATGAACTTGTGGCAATAATGGCAACTGATAATGTAGATTTAGTCGCTGTTACTGAGACATGGTATAATGAGTAAAATGACTAGGACATAGCAATACCAGGGTACTCTTTATATAGAAAAGACAGGGAAGGCAAGAAAGGGGAGGGGTGGCCCTGTATGTGAAGGATAGCATAAAACCTAGCCTAATAAAAGTTAGTGAGGCGAACATACAGTCTGTTTGGGTTACATTAGAATTTGGTAATCACACAGTAACTCGTGTAGGTGTGATATATAGGCCCCCAGGACAAATAGAAGAGTTAGATAATCTACTAGTTAAGGAAATGTCTAAAATGACAATGAAGGGGGAAGTTATCATCATGATGACTTTAATCTTCCTGATGTGAATTGGAAAATCAAAATAGCTGCTTGTGCCAGGAGCACACATATTCTAAACTCCCTACTGGGATTGTCTCTAAAACAAGTCATTGAGGAGCCAACTCGTAAAGAGGCCATACTAGATTTAGTGTTAACAAATGGAGATTTGGTATCAGATATTACTGTAGGTGAAAGTTTAGGATCCAGTCAGTGTGGTTTAATATAAGAACAGTGACTGAGTCACACCACACAAAAACAAAAGTTTTAGACTTAAAAATGTGTAAAGGAGTCATTATCAGAGTGGAGCAATTTAAATGGAGTCCAAGAGAAAAGGTATTATTTAAAAGTTGCACTGCTGAAGGCAACAGAAAATTGCATTAGGCTTGTCAGTAAAAGCAAAAAATGTAAGAAACCACAGTGGTACTCCGCAGATGTGGTCAAAATAGTAAAAAACTAAAAGTTAGCATTTAGTAATTCTAAAAAAAACAAAACAACCCAGAGTGAGGAAGATAGACAGATTTATAAGATTAGTCAGAAAAAGGCTAAACAAGTTATAAGAGCTTCCAAAGACATCACACATAGAAGAGAAAATAGCACAGTCAGTAATAAAAAGGGACAAAACATTTTTTAGATACATAAATGAGAAAAGGAAAGTAAAACAAGGATTAGTTAGATTAAAAACAAAAGAAGGAAGGCATGTAGAAAAGGATAAAGGTCTAGCTGACTGACCCAATGAATATTTTTGTTCAGTATTTAGAGATGAAAATTAAGGAAATGGGCCTCAATTAGCAAAAAGGACAAATGAGTCAATTGTTACATGTGAGTTTACAAAGGAAGATGTATTTCAACTGTCAAAAGTAAAGACAAATAAGTCAATGGGACCTGATGGAATACACCCAAAGTTATTAAAAGAGCTTAGTGGTGCACTAGCAAAACCATTAACAGATTTATTTAACCAATCATTGTTAACAGGAGTAGTCCCAGAAGATTGGAAGTTAGCAAATGTTGTGCCCATTCACAAGATAGGTAGTAGAGAGGAGTCGGGCAACTTCAGTAGTGGGGAAAGTAATGGAAACCATGTTAAAGGATAGGATTGTTGAACATCTAAAAACACATGGATTTCAAGATATGAGACAACATGAGTTTACTTCATGGAGATCATGCCAAACTAATCTTATTGATTTTTTTGATTGGGTAACTAAAATAATAGATCAGGGTGGTGCAGCAGACATTGCTTACCTAGATTTCAGTAAGGCTTTTGACACTGTTGCACATAGAAGGCTTATCAATAAACTGCAAGTCTCATTGACAGCCACTAGAGGCACTTGCTGTGTTTCCCAGGAAGAAGTGATAGTTATAAGTCATTAACTAAACTCCTGAATCTCCCCAGTTACGTTCACCTGACTCGCTCAGTCAAGCAGAATGATATTATCAACGCAGTCTGGACTGCTAGAGAAAGAGTGCAAGTAAACACGAACGAGGGAGCTGCAAAACCCTTAATCAGATCTCCTCTGTGCCTGTACCTCCTTCCCTGCGGGGCCCCTGGTTTCCCCCTGAAGACCTAGAAAATGTCCATAATCCAAAAGTCTCTGAAAGTCTGCTTGGTTTACTACAGTTAACCAGCGAGGTCTGTGATTACATTAGTGTATAGGTCTGTGTTTACATGTGTGTATATAGGTCTGTGATTACGTGTGTGTATAGGTCTGTGACTACGTGTGTGTGTTTATAGGTCTGTGATTACACGTGTGTATATAGGTCTGTGATTTCATGTGTGTATTTAGTTAACTAAATAAAGATATTACCCATGGGATAGGTCAGAAAATCTTCTGCTAGCTAAAAACATAAGCTAGGGGAGACCTATGCCCATATCTCCTAGTCAAAAAAGAGGTCATCTAGTTGTACTAGTTAAGCAGGGTATAATCCTAATTACTAGAAATAGAAAATGAACAATGTCCAAGATATTCACTCCAAATGGAATTGGATGTCTAGGAATAAGTACAACTTAAATTAGATTAGTAGCCTAAAAGCCAAAAAATATGTAAAACCTTTATTTATCCTTAAGGCATAGAGCTACCATTACCAATTAAAGGGTCCTAAATAGGAACACTTGTATACATTCTAGGTATAAGGGAATCAGCCATAGGGAGCAGATGAGTGTTCCACTTGAAAAGGATACCCTGCTATTAGGCAGAAACAAATGAGAGGTGATAAGGGAAGGGGGGGATGTGTGTGTATAGGCCTGTGATTATGTGTGTGTGCTGTTTTAGGACATTGCAGGTGTCATATCTGCATGTTCTAAATGAATGGTGAGTTAAGCTGCAATTCTGAACGGTCACATAAGCAGTGTAGCATGCAATTTTTCTCTATGAGAAATACTAATTGGTTAAAAATGATCAGGCTTGACGACTTCAAAGTAGGCAGTTCTAGTTGCAGCATGGATTCTGTCTCGTGCCAGACTAAAGATTTCATTGTGTTTAAATTCGAAATTTAAAATCGAAAAAAATTGACAAAGGTCCACTATACCAAAATTACCTGATTTGAACATGCTTAAAGGGACACCGTGGGCACCCAGACCACTTCAGCTAATTGAAGTGGTCTGGGTGTAGTGTCCCTTTTGCACTTAGTGCTGCAATGTAATACACTGCATTTCCATAGAAACTGCAGGGTGGAGGGCACGAGGGATGAGGGAAGCAGGGGGAGAAATACATCTCAACAAAATATGTAATAAAAAAATAACATTCATATAAATAATGAACTGTCAGTCCCTCAGAACCGAGGAAAAGAAGAAAAACTTTAAACAGATACTGCTTCCTGGTACCGCCAGTATGCCCATAATGTGCAGTGTGCATCTGAAAACATAAAAGGACGTCCCCCATCATTTATCCTGAAAGAGAACTACCCTCTGTTCTGCTTGCAGGACAAGGAAGTTATTGCAATTTAAAGTACTAGGGCGTGGGACATGTTGATTTTTAATGTTATTTATGCTGAGGTCTACCTGTCCACTAGTAGTTAAGACACCCCTATTGAACTGCTACTATAGGACAGGTAAACACAAACTTTAATATGTTTAGAACTTCAAAGCAATACTCACTTATGTTGCCTAGAGCCGCGCGCGCACTCAGCCAATCCATAGGAAAGCATTCACAATGCTTTCCTATGGACGCTAGCGTCTTCTCACTGTGAAAATCACAGTGAGAAGCGTGGAAGCGCCTCTAGCGGCTGTCAATGAGACAGCCACTAGAGGCTGGATTAACCGTAGTGTAAACATAGCAGTTTCTCTGAAACTGCTATGTTTACAGCAGAAAGGGTTAAACCTAGATGGACCTGGCACCCAGACCACTTCATTAAGCTGAAGTGGTCTGTGTGCCTATAGTGGTCCTTTAAACATGTCAAGCTGTATGTACATCAGTCTGTTTATGTATCAGTTTGATTATGGAATAATGTTTGTATCTTGTTCAGGGTTTTTTTTATTTGGGAGTTTCTCCTTACTCCAGCAGACTGACAGCTCATTGCATGTATAGAGTGGAAACTGGAAGATTCCTATTAAAGATTTGTTTATTCTTTCCTTATTTTGTGTTTTTCGTATTGTGTTGTTCATGTCTGGTCAACATTCATTAACGTGCTCTGTGTCCAACTACATTCCGTCAGACATACACTAAATGGGCAAAATTATTGGGACACCTGACCATTACACCAACAGGGATTTTTTTAAGACATTGCATATTAATGTCTCTGTATTTAGTTTGTTCCACACCGTTTACAGCTACAAAGCTTCCACTCTTCTGGGAAGACTTTCCACAAGATTTTGGAGTGTTTCTGTGGGAATTTTGCCCTTTCATCCAGTAGAGCATTTGTGATGTCAGGCACTGATGCTGGATGTTAGAGAAAGCCAGGCTAGCAATGTCTGTTCCAGTTCATCCCAAAGGTGTTTGATGGGGTCAGGGCTCTGTACGAGCTAACCAAGTTATTCCACACCAAACTCCTTCAACCATGTCTGTATGGACATTGCTTTGCACACTGAGGCACAGTCATGTTCCACAAAGTTGAAGGCATAGCACTGCCCAAAATGCCTTTCACTGTAAGTAAGGAGCCTAGCCAAACCCCTGAAAAAAAACATTATCCCTCCTCCACCAAACTTACAATTAACACAATGCTGTCAGGAAGCTAATATTCTCCTGGCATCTGCCAAACCCAGACTCGCCAATCAGACTGCCAAACATAGACGTGTGATTTGTCCCTCCACAGAACACGTTTCCACTTCTCCACTGCTTTGCACTGTACTTGGTGATGTGAGGTTTGCATGCAGCTGCTAGGCGATGGAAACCTATTCCATAAAGCTCCCGCCGCAGAGTTTTTGTGCTGATATTAATGGCAGTGGAAGTTTGGAACTCCTCAGCTATGGAATCAGCAAAACATTGGCTACTTTTACGCACCATACTCTGCGACCTTATATGGTCTTCTGCTTTGTGGCCGAGTTTCTGCTGTTCCTAAACACTTACAATTTCCAATAATACCACTTACAGTTGTCAGTGGAATCTCTAGCAGGGATAAAATTCACAAACTGACAGATTAGTGTTCAAACTCAAGGAAATTGGTCTAGATGAAAATGCTTGTTCTTGGGTAGAACATTGGCTTAAAAACAGAGTACAAAGAGTTGTCATTAATGGTAAATTTTCAAGCTGGACAGAGGTGGCAAGTGGTGTCCCTCAGGGGTCTGTTCTGGGACCCCTTCTATTTAACATGTTTATAAATGATCTTGAAGACAGCATTGAAAGTCATGTTTCAGTGTTTGCAGATGACACAAAACTTTGTAAAATAATACAATGTGAGCAAGATATTACTTTACTGCAGAGGGATTTAGATAGACTGGGGGACTGGGCACTCAAATGGCAGATGAAATTTAATGTTGAAAAATGCAAAGTTATGCACTTCGGCGTAAAGAATACACAAGCAACGTATACCCTTAATGGAAGCGAATTAGGGATAACAACACACGAAAAGGACTTGGGAATTGTTATAGACAACAAACTATGCAACAATGTGCAGTGTCAATCAGCAGTGGCCAAGGCCAGTAAGGTATTGTCATGCATGAAAAAGGGCATTAATTCTCGGGACGAGAATATCATTTTGCCTCTTTATAAATCACTGGTAAAACCACATATTGAATATGCTGTGCAATTTTGGGCACCTGTTCTAAAGAAGGATATTATGGCACTAGAAAAAGTGCAGAGGCGGGCTACAAAATTAATAAAAGGAATGGAACATATCAGCTATGAAGAAAGGTTAACAAATTTAAACCTATTTAGTTTAGAAAAACATCGCCTGAGAGGGGATATGATAACATTAAACAAATATATTCGGGGCCAATACAAACCATTGTGTGGAAATCTATTCACAAACCGGACTTTACATAGGACACGAGGCCATGCGTTTAGACTGGAAGAAAGAAGATTTCGCCTAAGGCAAAGGAAAGGTTTTTTTACTGTAAGAACAATCAGGATGTGGAATTCTCTGCCTGAAGAAGTGCTTTTATCAGAGTCCATACAGATGTTCAAACAGCTACTAGATGCATACTTGCAAAAACAGAATATTCAAGGATATAATCTTTCAATGTAGGGTAATAACTGCTTGATCCAAGGATAAATCTGACTGCCATTCTGGGGTCAAGAAGGAATTTTTTTCCTAGCTTGTTGCAAAATTGTGCTTCAAACTGTGTTTTTTTGCCTTCTTTTGGATCAACGGCAAAAAACAAATGTGAGGAAGGCTGAACTTTATGGACGCAAGTCTCTTTTCAGCTATGTAACCATGTAACTTTTTATTCACTAATTAAGAGGTGTGTCTCAATGCTTTAGTCCATATAGTGTATATTTGCACTGACAGCATTCTGGGAGTTGTGTTCTAAGAACAGTTAGAAGACAGAAGTTCTGGGTGTAATTGCACATAAAGCAATAGCTGCTACATGTGGACCGGTTTTGTTTTTCTTCTGCAGCAGCACCCAGTGCAATAAGCATTATAACTCTTTTACTGCCATGGAATGTGCTCAACATGGCAAGGAAAGTGTTAAAGGCAATATCATCAGCTCATATGATAACCTGCAGTTTGACATTTGTGATGTCATGGATACCCAAGTGCAAAACTGATTGCATCTAGAACAGGAATATTATAAGCAAACAGCCTACCCTTATGAACAGAATAGCACATTCTTTTTCTGAGTTGTGGTGGCTCAAAGCAAACAAAACAAGCAGTTTTTAAAAATCTATAGTTTTGCCTCCAAGACGCCTGTATACTTAAATCCATTAAGATCCTTCCTGTCCATCACTAAAATGTAATTACAAACTCTTTGATGTAAGAGGCGACTAGAAAGAGCTGATGCTTTAATGTATATTGGGAGAAAAAAGCACGTACCTCAAGTTCAGTGTTAATAGAGGACTCATCAGAGGAACTGGGAGAAGACCACTTGGTATGGGTGGCATGAGCTGGAGTAAACACAGGTATGTCTGGGTAATAGAGTGTCTCCTGTTTGAAAAGGCTCACAGCACTGGTCTGTCCATCTCCAGGTAACCTCACTGCACCAACCCCTACCTGAACATTAGAGAAGGCTATAACAATAAGACAATTTAAGGAGGAGCAACTAGGGCTTATCACAAACTATATAAATTTTATAATACAACTGCCAGGAAGGGATTCATAACCATAAATGATTCCAGGTTTAGCTTTTTTTATCTAGATAAAGATATATATATTCACAGGATAAGCAAGGTTCTTCTTACCTTTTCTAATAATTTGTCACAGGCTTATGACATATTGCTGTCTGCCCATTACAATGCACATTAAACCATTTTTTGTTTTATTTAACAAACACTTTGGGCAATCTTTTTGTGTAGTATACACATACTTTCTTTAATAGTAAAACTTTTCCTATGGAAGTCAGAAAGGTCTGCTAATAAGCTGCACTAGAAGTTAAAATGAAATTCTAGTAATATAAATGTTAAAAAAAGCAACAGCCCTGAGATTTAACAGATTTCCCCCACCTTCCCCCCTCCCCCCACCCCCCCACAAAATTGGGATTTTTCACCAGAATGGTCATCACTTCAACAGCTTATTAAAAGTGAGCTATGTTGGAAGGACTGGCAGAGAGTAAAATTTACCCTAATTAGAAAACACAATGGCAAAGAAATAATCCTACTTTAAAGTTTTTATTACTATATAGATTGTCAAGCCTGGAAGAGGTATATGTGCTGGTGTGTCTTATGATATCCCCCGGGGTATTTTATTATTATTATTGCCATTTATATAGCGCCAACAGATTCTGTAGCGCTTGGGGTATATCTTACCCCTTACTATTAACAGCACCCACTCTCTAGCAGATACTTCCTGATATAAAGGAAAATCGATGATTGGATCATGCACAGTGCATTAGTTCAATTCGCATATATCACTATTTATATCCGAGAGATAATCAATACATTGCATAAATAGCAAAGACTGTGCGTAAAAAAAAGTGCACATTACATGGGATGTCCATTCTTTAACCCCTTAAGGACCAAACTTCTAGAATAAAAGGGAATCATGACATGTCACACATGTCGTGTCCTTAAGGGGTTAAAGGGACAGATATTTTTAAATGCTATACAGTATGGATGGTAATATCATTCATGGAATTACTTCCCACAATGAACAGGAATCACATCTGTGCTGTGCGGGGCCATAATCTCAGGCACTGACCAGGATATACATGCGCTGGCTTGTCCAGGAATAGTGGGAGTGCTGCAAGGCATGGTTACGCCCACTAATCATGGGCAGTGTGGGACATGTATGTGTTACTCTTACAATAACGTTCTCACCTTAAACCCTATTCTAAACATTAACCTGTGCACTACAATTAAACATTAACCCCTACATTCCTTTAGTACTTTTACTAGCACTAACTCAAGTTATATTAAAAGATGCATAACAATGGTTTGTGTTTATGGGAAAATAATACCCGCTTAGGGTTCTGGAGAAATCAACCACAAGCTTTCAATTCACCACGATTTAGTGATTAGTGAATAAACGTAAACATTTTTAATTTCTGCTGCAAATCTCTTCAAATTAATTTCTCTAATTTGTGTCTTGTACTTCACAACCATGGCATTTCTGCATGTGTACACTAGGTGGTGTCATATTACAGATTGTCACATAACTTCTTGGCATTTGACTTGTATCCTCTCATCACACAGCTATGCTTTGCTATGGGGCAGCTGACAGGGGCTCGAGCCACTAGTTGGATACATACAAATCCAAGGCCAAATTCTGGCCAGGGTTAGTAATGAGCACTTTTTTGGCACAGAATTCTCAAGTGTCCCCCAATCTCACCTCCTTCCAGCCGCTTCTGGAAACAAAAGTCGACTGTTTGACTAAGATAAAAATTGTTGGGTCTATACACACACACACACACACACACACACACACAGATAGTTTGGATTGTGTGGCACATGTAGACGTGTGTGTATGTCTGAGTGCATGTATATCTGTGTCAATGTGTAGCAGAAAATTATAGTAATGTGTGTAACAGTATATGTGTGTGTACTAGTGTGAATGTATACAGAGTGGGCAGCATTGTGTGCAAGTAACAATATGTGTAGAAGATTAAGTGTAGCAGTGTGTGTAGTAATGTGTGCACAGTGTGGGTAACAGGGTGTGTGTGTATATACACTGGAGAAAAATAAATTTTCTAGCAGTGTGGGGGAGCTTGTGAACTTGTCATTAATGAGCTGGCCACAATCTCCCCCCCCCTCTTCTTCCTGCAGATCGCTGTGTCCAGTCTAAGGGGGTGGGGCCATGCACAGATCACGGTGTTCAGTCTGAAGGGGTGGGGCCATGCACAGATCACTCTGTTCAGTCTGAGGAGGCGGGCCATGCACAGATCATGGTTCAGTCTGAGGGGGTGGGGCCATGCACAGATCACTGTGTTCAGTCCGAGGAGGCGGGGCCATGCACAGATCACTGTGTTCAGTCTGAGGGGGTGGGGCCATGCACAGATCACTGTGTTCACTCTGAAGGGGCGGGGCCATGTACAGATCACTGTGTTCAGTCTGAAGGGGCGGGGCCATGTACAGATCACTGTGTTCAGTCTGAGGAGGAAGGGCCATGCACAGATCACTGTGTTCAGTATGAGGGGGTGAGGCCATGCACAGATCACTGTGTTCAGTCTGAGGAGGCGGGGCCATGCACAGATCACTGTGTTCAGTCTGAGGGGGCGGGGCCATGCACAGATCACTGTGTTCAGTCTGAGGAGGCGGGGCCATGCACAGATCACTGTGTTCAGTCTGAGGGGGCGGGGCCATGCACAGATCACTGTGTTCAGTCTGAGGGGGCGGGGCCATGCACAGATCACTGTGTTCAGTCTGAGTAGGCGGGGCCATGCACAGATCACTGTGTTCAGTCTGAGGGGGCGGGGCCATGCACAGATCACTGTGTTCAGTCTGAGGAGGCGGGGCCATGCACAGATCACTGTGTTCAGTCTGAGGGGGTGGGGCCATGCACAGATCACTGTGTTCAGTCTGAGGGGGCGGGGCCATGCACAGATCACTGTGTTCAGTCTGAGGGGGCAGGGCCATGCACAGATCACTGTGTTCAGTCTGAGGGGGCGGGGCCATGCACAGATCACTGTGTTCAGTCTGAGGGGGTGGGGCCATGCACAGATCACTGTGTTCAGTATGAGGGGGCGGGGCCATGCACAGATCACTGTGTTCAGTATGAGGGGGCGGGGCCATGCACAGATCACTGTGTTCAGTATGAGGGGGTGAGGCCATGAATAGATCAGGCTCATTAAACTGAATACTGTATATTGTTCCTAGAGTCCAGCAGCCTCTACTCTTGTTGGTAAACAGCAGACTCCTTAGAGCAAGTACAGAGGGGTAACAGGCAGAACAGGCGCTTATACTACACTACCTCCAATTATATTATTTGGACAGAACTAGTTTTGGCATTAATTATACGGTGATAACTTCTGAAGGTCTAGTGTTTTAATATAGTGTGGTGACAGATTAATACAGTAGATGTGGAGTTTATAAATATAGGTTTATTTAATCCTCGGAATTCAATCAAACAGTTGGTGTCACAATTTGACTTACAGAGCACGTTAAGATTTAGAGTTGGACTTAGTATAGGGCTGGTTTCCGGAGGGGCTCCAGTGAAGATTTGAAGAAAAAAAATCCCATTTTTTTTTTAATATTACAAATAGTAGGATTTTTTTGCTCATATGTTGAGAGTGAAAGAGAATGGTCCATAAAATTTACCCTTGGGCTGAAGCTGCTGGTAATTTTGCCACCTAGCAATGTATCTATACTGCAGCTTTTGTCACTGTAAGCATAGTTCTCTATAGTGCATAAGTGTGCATTAAGCATGTGACTGGCAAGCTGGCAGAGATAGCTAGCTATAATAGGTAGATTTGATAGATGATATACATGCCAGTCCCACAGAAAACAAAGACAGACGGAGCCATAAAACTCACTATGCTATAAACGACATTCTTACACAATTACTGTACATCTGTTCTCCATCTTACCTGTTGCACTGGCTCAATGCTCAGGCTCACACAACGATCAAATGATGCTCTGTTGCTATGGCTTCGATTTGGAACTATTTTTAATGGAGTCCAGTTAGAATTCTAAAAAATGAATTGAAACAACTTAAACTTTAAACGGGCAACATTTGTTAACTTTTCAAGAGAGCAATTTAAAATACCCCTATCTAAAGTAAGGAAGTTTAGCATCTGCAGACAGTGCATATTAAGCTAAAATTAGACCTATGGGATAAAAGAGGACCTATGTATCGGTCTGGTAAACTTAAGAGAGAGAGGTGGTAGCAGCGACCATAATCCAAAGTAATGGAAACCCAATCCCTTTTTAAGGCAGCCTTTCATTCGAGAGCATTAAATGAATTTGGGCTTCAGCAGGATACAAAAATTCCTTTGGAAAATTGTGTGAGTCTATTGATTTACATAAAACACTTTAGTAACACTCCTTATCAGAATAAAATCAAATCAGCAGATACCCTGCTACCAAGACAATACGCAAGCACCTAGTAATAACACCCAGTAAGCTACGGGTTTCATTTAAAAAGTGTGCTGCTGCACAGAGTCGTCCTTTAAATGTCATATGGGTGTACACACATCCCTCTAGAAATAAAAAGGGAAAATAATTTCACTTAAAATTTGGAGAAAGAGAAAAAAAAATAATTCCCAAGTCATCTAGCAATTAAAAGACAAGGTGGTTGTACAGTTATTGGTTACACTGTACAAGGATGCAGTAGGTTTGGTAAGATTCAAATATGATTACTCTCAATCCTACAAAGAAGGGTTCATTGGACTTGGATATGTCATATTAAGCCACATCTGACAAACACACATGTTCAGATACGTTTGATTAGAATGAAGGGATGACGGTAAAAATTAACATTTTTAATTTCTGTTGCAAATCTCTTCAAATTAATTTCTCTAATTTGTGCCTTGTACTTCACAACCATGGCATTTCTGCATGTGTACACTAGGTGGTGTCATATTACAGATTGTCACATAACTTCTTGGCATTTGACTTGTATCCTCTCATCACACAGCTATGCTTTGCTATGGGGCAGCTGACAGGGGCTCGAGCCACTAGTTGGATACATACAAATCCAAGGCCAAATTCTGGCCAGGGTTAGTAATGAGCACTTTTTGGCACAGAATTCTCAAGTGTCCCCAATCTCACCCCCTTCCGGAAACAAAAGCTGACTGTTTGACTAAGATAAAAATTGTTGTGTCTATACAAACACACACACACATAGATTGTTTGGATTGTGTGGGCACGTGTAGACGTGTTTGTATATCTTGATGCATTTCTATGTGTGTAGATGTGTGTAGATCTGTGTATATGTGTCAATGTGTATAACCCTGTTAGTTCTGAGACAGCCGTCACACATTCACTACCAACCTCTTCATCATCTTCGGGTGTGTGACTGATACCTCTATCTTTCTCCTCTTTATTGTCTTTTGCCAGCAGCTCACAGTTATCATCTTCACCTGTTGCTTCCACTACAAACCCCATCTGATACATAAATCTGTTTTTCATCATGCAGGACAGAATTGTGAGCTGTCAGAGCATTGTTAAGGATGTTTAAAGGATTTATAACATAAAAGAAATATACGTCATCTAATAAAATAGATCAAAATCAAACTTTCTAGTTATCACATTTTGTGACAAGAAGGGTTTCCTTCCAGATTATATTTGCTCAGTCCTAACTTTATATAACTTAACTTTGTTTGATCAGTGAGAACAGTGTGTAGTGCCTTTCTTAATCTTTTCAGTGCTCGAACATTGGGAAAGAAAAAAAAAAAAAAACACACACACACACACTTAACAGAACTTTAGGAAAAATATTGGGTAGGTGGGTGGGGACAGGGAATGCATGGGCCTTACACAATGCTGAAATTTTTAAAATGATTACCTTATATACTCGAGTATAAGTCGAGTTTTTCAGCACATTTTTTATACTTGAGTTAATGTCTGTATTATGGCAATTTACATTGCCATAATACAGACCAAGACCGCCATGCTCATTACAAGCCCGGCGGTCCTGCTGGGGGCTGGCAGAGAGCTGTAACTTACCTTTCCTGCAGCTCCTGTCAGCTCCCTTCTCTCTCCTCCGTTCTGGTCAGCTCCACTGTAAATCTTACGAGAGCCGCGGGGAACGCTCCGCGCGGCCGCAAGACTTACAGTGGAGGAGAAGGGAACTGACAGGAGCTGCAGGAAAGGTAAGTTACAGCTCTCTGCCAGCCCCCCTCCTGCACAGTGCACACCAAAAAATTAAATAATAATAATAAAAAATATATATAGATATATATATATATATATATATATATATATATATATATATGAGAGAGAGAAAAAAAATGCCCCCCCCCACCACCAAGGCTCTGCATCACATACGCACACTGCACTCATACACACACTGCATTCATACACACACACACACACACAGTAAATAAATATTCAATTAATATAATTCTTTTGGGATCTAATTTTATTTAGAAATTTACCAGAAGCTGCTGCATTTCCCACCCTAGTCTTATACTCGAGTCAATAAGTTTTCCCAATTTTTGGGGGTAAAATTAGGGGTCTCGACTTATATGCAGGTCAACTTATACTCGAGTATATACGGTATATGAACTACCATATGGCACAGCATTCATCCCAACGCATCCTTTCAAAAGAACAAACCAGCGGAAGCAGCTTTGTTTTTACCAAAGCACAATCTACATGGAGTGACAGGAAGAGGTACATTGGAAAGAGAAGTGCAAATTTTACAACAAACAGCAGAGCCGGAAAACTAGTTGGATTGGAGAACATTTCCAGGGATTTTTTAAAATTAGTATTTTAATGAGAATTAGTGTTCTAAGCAGAGACAGCAATGGTACATGATATATCTATATTAACTCCTCAAGGACACATGACGAAAACATGTTGGGTTTTTATTTCTGAAGTTGAGTCCTTAAGGGATTCATCCTTTTTAGAATCTCTGTTTGCATTGTTCAATTAGTCCTCTGCTGCCTTAATCCATAAAAAAACACTATACCAAGCTAAATGAAAGAATGGCAGTAATAAGATCATCACTCGCAGCCAGCCATACTTACTTTACAATAATCTTAGCACACTTAAACTGCTATTTAGAAGGAATTATGAAATAAGATTTCCAGGTTCAATCCCAAAGGCAAAATAAAAGGACTTTATACACAAACACTGATATTTTATAGAAAAATATATTTTTTATTTGCCAAAATTAACTATGCTGTGCTGACAATGGGAATTGCAAATTTTAGGCCAAAATTACCAAGTTGGAAAATAATTCTACAACTCTGTTATTCTCCAAACTCTATAATTTAGGATAAAACTTGCAATTCCCCAGTCAATGCACCATAGTTCCTAGTTGAATATATGTGACTCAAACTTGTCTTCAGATTAATCTAATCTAAAGTTACAGTGTTCAGATGATGAGGAGCCAACTGACTGAGACTGCATGGAGTCAGGACAATGGTCTCTCCATAGAAAATGCAAAAATGATTGCAGGTTCTAGCATATTGTTTACCCTCATCTCTTTGGAACCTCAACCAGAAGCTAGCTGAAGTCAAGCTGGCCAAGAGTGATAGAAGTAAAAGTCCAGTGTCTTGCTACTGAACCTTGCTGAATTGTAGTTCAGTTACCGGTTAGCTAACCCTGACCTAACCTCACTGTACGGTGATATAAAAGCTGGACTGTCACAGATATAAAATAAATTTAAAAAAAAAGGATACAGCAATATCCAGGGCGGCTGAACCTATGAAGATAAGGAACCAAGGTGCTGCTCTTAGAAAATATTCTGGATGGCGGTTGTGAGACATAATTGCTGCCGTGTACATAATGCTGGCCATCGCGGAGAAGAAGACCGCCCAGATCTGCACAACAGAAAACACCATACCTCTGCACTGGAAATAAAATTACCATAGTTATTCTACAAAATAAAGAGAAAGGGATCGAGGACAAAGAAGATACCAACTGAGAAATTCTGTATAATTTGCTACACATTAGTGATTTTTAGCATGTGATACAACAAGGGTTCTTGTGAGACATGGAGCACAGGTGTATCCTATCTTACCTGTGGCCCCTAGAGCAGGAAATTATATATATTAGTACTAGTGTAGTTATATCTTCCATGGTTTGTGTGAGCCAATGATAACCTACATTCTCTAACGACATTCAATAAAATTAATGGAAAATTTCAGCTATCAGACTTTCTAAATTACATCTGTCAACTCTTTAAATGGCTACTCCAAACACCATGACCACAATTACATTAGAATTTTGACTCCATGCCTGGAGTCTGTATGTGCAGCGTTTCACTGTAAAATGCTGCATAGATTGAGTTTAACCCCATGGCTCCTGGAGGTGTTACTCCACCTCCAGCAACAGAAGTTACGGCCTCGCTAATGTCAATTTTGTTTTGCAAAGTTTCCATTTATTGGCTGATGCTCTCAGTCAATGAATGGCGACTAGATCAGCTACCTACTTCTGCAGGTCTGCAGCAGGAAGTCTCGTAGCCCCACTGGGACCCACGTAAGAAGGTAACCGGCAAACAAACCGTTTGTCCCATTACCAAGCTAGGGTACTACTGGCATCTTAAACACTACAGTAGGCTGTAGAGGTTATGATGCTTGTGGTAACCCTTTAATGACTTTATGATTTTTGATCATTTTCTCAAATAGGCATTTTATTTCTACAAAATATATTCTTAGTGATATCTTCACATATAGAACTTTAAAAGGTGACACAAGAACTTCTGTTAAAGTCAGAGGAAAAAAAAAAATATTTAATGTGGAGTAAGGGTTGTTAAAAGTTGAGATGTTTTTCCAGCTTCAAAAGTTATTCAGAGAACGTTTTAATAATTTTACAAATTTGCCTGAAGCAGACATGTTCTGAACAAAATGTCATTAGAGATGTCTGGAAAAACCTGAACATGAGTCAATGACTCTAGAATTGCCTTGAGTGAAATTGCATTAAGTAACTGCAATTTACTGTTAACTCATTGATTATCTGTTTCAAGGACAACTCTTACCAGATGTACGATTGCTCACTTTTCAGGGCACTCTGGTACCAAGCAGGATAGTTACTGAACATCAGTTGAGTTCACTATTTACAAGAAGCTATTTCAGTCACTGAGTTAAGTTTTTTTTCCCGTTTATTTATTTTTTTCTCTTAAATAATTTTTTTATTCCCCAATTAAAGAGCTCTTCTTTCATCAAAGTCAGTGTTCACCTAACAAAACATTTTCATATCAACATCTGGAAAAGGAAACAAACAAAAAAGCAAACAAAAACCCTAGTGAAATGCAGAAATCTACTTAAAATAAGATAGCTATTTTAAAGTTAACACAAAAATTCCCCGAGGCACTACATATTCAGTGTTTGTTATAGACTACCAAGTTTTATTGTTAAATACTCACTACTTTTGTGATGACAGGTACCCGTACTGTCCATGACACAATTACAGCAATTATTCCAAGTGTGAATCCTACAATGTCTGTACTCTCCTGAAAGAGATAGAATACAGGGTATTGGATATAAACATCTAATACAGTGCAGGCATATATAATACTTTGTACACACCTTGCTTCTAACTGCATTGTTCCTGACACAGTGAAGGTTGTTTTCTTGCCAATTTATAACAGGGGAGGGGGGGGGATGAATGTACTTTACATGGAATAGTGAGAAGAAGAGAAGGGAGCACTGACACGTTAAATAAATCAATTGTGTAAAATTGTAATATATTAATAAATGGTGTGAAGAATTAATTTAAAAAAAAATAATAATAATGAGGAATGAATCCCATATGTGATGAGGAAGCACTTTGGAACTAAGAAGTACATTCCATTTGTGAATACACTTACACTATTTTGCATCACTTCTCAGATCATAATATTTTGTTAACGTTCTTCAGTGTGACAGTCAGAGCTGATTGGCTGGGTGTACTCTGATGCTGTGAGTGCTCACTCTCCTACTGATGAGTGATCAGGTGGCAGCAAGTGAAAAAAAACCTGTTTATCAGCTTTGTGACATTCACCGTGCCAAATTCTAACTCCTGCAAGTAGCCCGCAATCTTAAAAATTTAGGCAGGAAGTGGATCCAATTTTCATGATGTATGATATAATTGTGCAAAAACATAATGTTAAAAACGATACTCCCCTTTAAAGCAACTGCTGTCATTTAAAAGAATAAAAGTTTAAACACTCACTGACCCTAGGTGCATGTACATGGCTGTGGATCCTGTCATCATATACTACAGGTAGGGATGGGTTTTTCTTAATTTTTACATAAATTTCATTAAAAAAACCAAAACATTAAAAACTAAATAAAAGGATTATTACATTAAAAATACTTTTCAGGTGACAGTTGTCCTTAGTTGCAATTAAGTGCCTAATTATCAATAGCTCTTCGTGATGTATAAAAAAAGGTTAGAATATTTTGCTAAATTAATTATTTTAAATTACCTGTAAAACTGTCCCAAGCAAACGCCTTTGATTAGTGTGAGATACTTCACCATAAATATATCTGTTTGGGCTAAAAGAGTAACACCCAACGCCGACAAATAAATAAATTGAGAGAGCAGATAGTATGACTTTGTGCCTTTTCCTTTTTCTGGAATTCCTCTGATCTGTAAAAAATATATATTTTAAATTGTAGGATACATGTCTTTATCTACATAAGCGTATTGTTTTATCTTTAAAGCTTAGTAAATACAAACATTTATGTCAAGATAAATAAACGTCTTTTTAATTGTGTGCAAATTACACAAGAGTCTACAATGGAAGAATTCTAAAAACAAACATGGTGGATAACTGTCCTGTTTTGGACAATTAATATATGCAATGATGGTTAATATAGGTTCAAAACAAAAAACCTACCTGTGTACTATCCCAAACAGCAATGCACATTTAAATAACAGAGGTCTTAGAAACACTGCAATGGCCATTAAAGTTAACCTGTCACTTCAAGCCCAACATCTAGGGTAAGACCAAAACGAAATTCCCCACTTAGGGAGACAAAGCACTAAAACAAAAAAAAAAATAAACCCCAAAACTTTACAATGAAAGATAATCACATTGCATTTGCTTCAAGTATACAGCTTCTGCAGGATACAGTAAGTGACTAAAATCTCCCGATCAACCTATTGTTTTCAATGCAAGTGCTGTGCATATTCAATAAACTACAGCTCATCATTCACTACAAGTCTTATATTTTTTATTAATTTTTGGGGGTGGGGGAGAGTGAATGCAACAGCACATGCGTGAGAGCTCTCATAGAAACTTATTAGAGATACTGTGCAAGTCATCTGTACATATCTTCCTGACAGCCACTAGAGGTGCTTCTGCATTTTATTGGATGACTGCAGCATTTTGCTGTGCATGCATTCTCATCCTCAATGCTACTCCTGGAGAAGCATTGGATTGGACGAGATGGCGTGTGGCATCAGCAGGGCTGCTGACATCTATGGAGGAGGAGCTTGAAGCTGCAGTGAAGGTGTCTAAGGGTTGGAAATGAGACAAGTTAACTATATTTAACATCAATTTCGAGAGCAAAGGGGGTGGACAGTGATCACATCGATAGAAGGGAACCTATGGATTGTCCCAAAATGATGATTGTTGTTTTCAGGGCTATAGGTTCCCCTTCAAGTAACTCATTGCTCCCTGAATCTGTAGTGCAAACTCAGGCAGGCTAACAGCAGCTACTGGGTAATTCATTCTCTAGAGACTGGAGTCTTATATAATCTTAATACAGTATTCATTACATTTTACATTCACATGCAAATAAACCCACTGAGACCTGGCTAACATAACAACAACCCTAAAATATTTTTAACCCCATTGTGGACCTTGGTGTTGCTAATCTTATAAATCAATCATAAAATACAGAGGAGCCATTAAACATAGCTACATACCAGATCTGGATCTGTGTTTAAAATGGCAGACAGGGAAGAGAGTTAACATAAAATGCACAACATCTGCTGCTGCCATATAACTCCCAGTGATCACCTGGAAGACAAATCAATAAAATGTATAAAAATGGCAATTAAGTATCCGTGTTTCATTTACAGTCCTAATTTCATAGTAAAAAATTCAATTACTTTTGGCTTTGTGTTATATTAGTGCATAGCCAAACAACGGGAAGATACGTGATATCTGCTTTCAGTGACTAAACCCTTGACGTTAGAAATTGAGGAGGGGTGACAGTATCCATAATTTACCAGCTTTTGAAAAAAAATTAAATTGTTGCCGAAGGCAGACAGGCACCTGTAGGGAGTTGCCTTTTGGGCCTTCTGATAAATCCAAACGTGATGATGTCATAATGGCTCCAATGGCTAAAGAAGTCACCAAAACAACCGGCTTATCAGGGAGAAGGCGATACAAATCTGCACTAGAATGTCAGATTTGACCCAAGGCCCAAGCCCTGGAAAAAGGAATTCAGTTAAGACTAAGTATGCAGGTGGCATATATATTTATAAAATGTATCCGCCAGCTCTATAGACGCTGTCTTCGTTCCACGAAACAATGAAATGTTAACCAATTCTAGAATCCTCATTAAAATTCTTTTTCAAGAGAGAATGACATTCTTGCAGTGCTGCACAATTAGCAGGTAATAAAACATTTACACATTTTATAGTCACCAACCAACCTTTACAATTTAGTAAAGTGAATGTTAGTGTGTGCTGGTAAAAACATATGACTTATCAAAAAAGACACGCACGCAATAAGAAACATACCTGGATGGTTAGCTGCTTAGACAAGAGAGCTCCAATTGTATTACACATGCATCCGAAAAAGCTATAGACGTGCCAGAACACAGATACATGATGAGTGGATTTTCTTTTGCACCTCAAATAGAAATGCCTGAAAGACAATGTGAAAGCCTGAACATTATTATTTACAGACAGCGATTACCCATGTCATTTTTTATGCTAAGTTAATATACTAATACATTACTGTCCAAGAGCAAAATCACTTTACATATAGATTGAACATAGAGGGGTTTATTCACTATACTGGGAAACGCAGGGAACTTAAAGGTTTTCCCACTTAGATATTTTTCCAACTCCCTGTTGTTGCCTTCATAATGCATGGTTTAGATTAGAGTGTAAATCCCTCAGGGGCAAATCAAATTGCACAATGTAGGCAAAACTTTCTGATTTGGAAAAATAAAATCTCCATTTCAGCTTTAGTCACAGTTTGACCTATTGCCATTTTATAATTTTTCAATTCACCGGTTAGTAAGCAAACCACTAAAGCAGGGGTTCCCGAAAGGTAGATCCAAAGATGCTACAGAAGTACAACTCCCATGATGCTTTGCAGGTCTTTGGAATGCCTTTGGAATAAAAACGCATAATGGAAGCTGTAGGTTTAAAACATCTGGGGATCTATCTTTTGGGCACCCCTGCACTAAAGGGACACTCCAGATACCAAAAGCACTTTAGCTTGCTGAAAAGCTTAAGTGTCTCCTCTTATGTTAGTTTAGAAAAAGTGCAGTGGCACCTTTACGCCCCCCAAAATTGCTTCTCATATCCAGACAGTGTTATTTTTGTATCCAGCGTATGGGGGGTTATTTAAGATTTATCAAGGCAAATATGAGCCATTCTGTTGCAATGTACAAATGTTTAGAGAAAGTATCTTGGTTTCCATGGTGATTTTTTCATATGTAGCACTTTGTCCCAGAATAGCACCCAAGTGCTTTGACAAATACAGCCCAAAATACAGTATTGCTTTATGTACTCAAGGCTTGTGGAGCACACACTATATCAGCATTGTTTGCTTAATGAGGGCCAGCCAGGTAAGACTCTAGCAGGATATAATCCTCATCCACCCCTCCTGCTCACATCCAGACTTAACCCCTGCAGTACCAGTAAACCATGAAGCCCAATCAATGCTTTCAGGACAGAAAACCAGAACTCCCAAAGCCAGCACTTAGCCCTGTCACCCAGCACGTCAGTGCCTCTTCCCTTTACATAAGTCTATGAGTGGGAGGGATACAATAGGACCCCCAGCCCTGTACCCATCCGAATAGCATTCACAAGAAATTACATATCACCACACTTTTTCCCCCATGATCAACTCTGCACACGTACAGTATTCCAGGAAAACTGGCAGAACAACGATTTAAAAAAAAAAAAGTCAGTTTACTAATCACATTGGGCTACTTTAAGGAAAAAAAGGAAAGCGGACAGAAAGTTGACTCACAGGGAGATGGAGGTGAACCAGAATAGGCAGGACAGGATCCAGAGCCCGAAGGACACGCAGACTTTCTCATCAGCGAAGCAGGTGATCACATATTCCAAGTTCCAGAGCCCTGGCCCCTCACTGGCAGTGACATTCGGGGCCACATCCATCTGCATCTGGACATGGAGTTCACGTGGAGTGTGCAGCACAGCGCGCCCTGCAGGCCAGGTGTGGGAAACACGGTGCAGCGTGCAGGCCAGGTGTATGCAGCACAGCGCACCCTGCAGGCCAGATGGCGCACTGTTGGGCTGTGTTCTGTTCTGGGAGCTTCCTGTAGTTGGGCTGTTGGTTTTACAAGGTGCGGCTGATAAGTGTGAGTTGTTGTCCTGCTGGGTTCATGCTGATATTAGCCAAATTCTACCTGTCAGCAAAGGCTCCTTTCCTTTGTGTCTTGGAATGTCTGTGTTTATGTAACTCATGTAAATAAATGTAAGTAAACGTGTTGAAACCCAGGCATGGTGTCTATACCTACAAAGAAGCAGGTCACTATCTGTCATCCACACTATAAAATGCCCTACCCTAAAACCTGGCAAATCCGGAAATTTGGCTCACCTCCTGTTACTATAGATAAGTCAACTTCCCCCTCCTAGCAGGTCAGGCATGTGTTTTATATGTGACTGACTGTAAACCTAGCGAGTTAATTTGCATTTAGAAAAATTCACACTCAGACAGGGGCGGTGCAAGGATTTGTGTGACAATACACTAGATTGTAAAGATAGAGAGAGAGATACACACACACACCTATATGTATATATAGCTAAATGGTTTTTATAATGACTTCTCTAACATTTATTTTTGTAATGTCAGAGGTATTTAGATGTTGTAGCGGAGAGCTGATTTCCCACAGCTAAACTCCACCAATATATTAAGAGGATGCAGGAGCAAGTAGTAAATCCAAGAGAATATCCAGCACAATCAGCAATACAATCCAATAATATCCCATCACCTTTCCCAATCAGTGGACAACACACAGTATCAGGAGTAGAACTAACTTTTAATGGCAAAATTCCTGCTTTTATGAGATTCTCCCATGCAAGGGAGGGATTCACCACAATTAGTACAGTATCCAATCCCATAGATGTTACCTCCCACACATCTCCTCCCCTTAGATTAGCACTTAACACAATTATACAAGGCATACTTTTCCCCACTTTTCAGATGTACCCCAAATAGGTGGAATATACCCTTAAATATGGTACACCCTGGTAGCCCTGATCATATCCAAAAATCACCCAGATCAGAGCAGGGGTTCGGGAGTTATGGGAAGGTAAAGTTTTGACCGACCGCAAGGGTAAAGTAGCCAAAAATAGTTCCATGAAATCTGGCCCTGCGGTCGGTCTCCATTCGTGCCCCGAAAGCCCCGAACTGCTATACCATCCATAGTGCATTTGGTAACCGGATGAATCCCCTAGTTCGTGGGATTCATCCTACCGAACGCCGGGCCGTTTGTGGGTTTCCATCCGTGTATTCTGAAGCCCTGGAGGTCTTAGCGGTGTTCGGCTAGTCGAGTGTGCGTTTTGAGTTCCAGACACTCAACGACCAAACACCGCTGTTCGCGGATTTAAAATGGCTGCCGCCATGTGTTCGGCTGCCGAAATGGCGATCACCCAGGGATTACAGCGGCGTGTTCGTGCGTACAAGGGAATATGAAAAGCAATCAGGGAGGTAAATTATATCCATTCTTCACATCAGGGAGGTCTGGTTCATTCGGTACTTTTTTCGTATGGTGAATTTAGTCGTTCACATGTAAGCTGGTATTCTCATACCGAACAAAGTATGGCCACATCTAGTTACATGGAATTTTGTGTACCCCAGGCACAGGAAAATCTTTGCAGTGCCAACAATAAATGAAAGGAATGGGACAGCCAAAAAGGGGTTCTGCTACAGATGTAAAGGGCCCTTTCTTTAAGAGATAAAGCCATTTAACTCTTATTGCACATTGCATCGGTTTTACCATAGTTGGAGGGCCGGTGCAAGGATTTTTGCCGCCTTAGGCTATAGATACCAGAACCACTTCATTAAGCTGCAGTGGTTTGGGGACAATAGTGTCCCTTGTAAATCAGAGGTTAGTGCCACGAATAATATACTAGATTGCCTACTTAAAACCAGATGAGGATGATGATGGACTCTGGCTGCAGACTGGCTCCAGTGGTCTGGTGTAGAACAGGCTCTCTGGAGGCTGTTTGTAACTGTGGTCCCAAAAATCAATGTTCTAGGAGAACGGGAAGCAGCTCCATTTTTGGGGGCCCCTTACACAGCTCAAGGTCTGGGTCCCAGGGTCCACCTTCATGTTCCACCAATGAGTTTGTTCACAGGGGGTGGAGTGTGTAGGGGATGTTCTGATGTGTGTAAGGAATGCATTGTGTGAATCTGTGTTTGTATGTGTAAGGGCTGCAAGGTTTGTTTGTGTATGTATGGGATGCAGTGTGTGCGTCTGTAAGGGACGCATTGAGTGTGTGTAATGAATGCATTGTGTGTTTCTGTGTGTGTAAGGGATGCATTGCTTATGTATGTGTGTCTGTGTGTGTGATGCATTGCTTGTGTATGTGTGTCTGTGTGTGTAATGCATTGTGTGTTTTTCTGTGTGCAAGGGGTGCATTGTGTGTGTATGATGGATGTCAACTTCCCTCTCCCCGTCAATTTCCTTCTCCCCCTCCCCCCTCCAATTTCCTTCTCCCCCCTCTCCAATTTCCTTCTCCCCCCTACCCCCCCTTCCACCACTGTTGTAGCGTGGCCGAGCTCTGTATGGTCCGCAGGTACAGGGAGCTTTTGTTTCCTGTACCCGCGGACCATACAGAGCTCGGCCACACTACAGTGAGGGTGTGACAGGAGTGAGCGCTGAGCGCTTTCCTCCTGTCAGCCCCTCTCCTCATGCTGCGCCCGGGCTGGCAAAGCTGCAGCCGCCTGAGGCTCTCTACAGGGGCGCCCTAGGTGGCTGCCTAGTCCGTCTAACAGGTAGCGCCGGCCCTGGCTACACTGTCACGCCGAACTTCACCTTTCCACTATTGTTTCCTCTTGTCTTCCTCTCTCAGAATCTGTTCCTTTCTGATCTAGTTTTATTTAAAACATAGGATAAAGTTGGGACTACTTTGTGTTATGTATTTTTTCCTACGCTTGACTTTCTTTGACCAAGAGAGGAGCTTAAGTCAGTTCCATTTCCTGTGTCAAAAAGTTTTCCCACAATACACCTCTTTCCTTCATGTTCATGCGATGCCTGCATACGCCATGACTGAACCTGAACGGCCTGCCATTTAGACTTGGACGCTAGCAAATTGACCGAATTTCATCCGTACAGAATGTGTACAGTTTGTCCATTCGTGTTCAGATGAAATTCGGTCACAATATTTAGTTTGGAAGAATGAAATTCTAATCCGTGCAGCGTATGCGTCTTGCAGCTGTTTAGTAGATAGCCCCCTAATTCCCATTTACTGTGTTTAAGTCATAACTGAAATAAATGTGAATCAAAAGAGCCCTTTATGTCGCTGATGATTTGAGCACTTTTTGATTTACTAGATTAGTTGCTGATGGCAATAACTCCTTGGTAAAAATGAATGGAGGTTGGAGGGTCACCCGTATTAAAAATCCCCCTGTTACTAAGAGAAAGGGTGAATGGAACTTGTTGGGGCACACCAACTAAAAACCTTTTTAGTTCGTCTTACTAATCCTTATATTTGGAATATTCGTTAATCAAAAATTATTGTGGCAGATTCTTAAAGGAGTCTTTTAGCATAATCTATTTTTGTACATCTAGTCTTTTGTCTCGTGAGATTTACTTCAAACAACTTTGGGGGCATATTGTCTAGATAAATCTATTGGGACCCGTTTTTTTATCTCTCTAATGGATAATCTGCTATACTAATATTTTACTCAAGTGGGTTGTTATTTTATAGCCGTCACCCAGGTACCTAGATACTTCATTTTTTCTGTGCACCAGTGGAATGGGAATTTGGGTTTCAGATTATCATATTCCTCTGTCGGGGTGGTGATATCGAGGACCTCACATTTGAAAAGGCTCAACTTAAGGAATTATCAGATATGTCATGAATGATAGGCATTACAATCAATTCAACAAAAAATATCCAGCTTTGCAATGACAATAGACTAATACAGTATAAATGTTATCTCTTGTATAGGATGCACATTGTGAGGACCTAAAGAGAGGTTTTTAATTTAAATTTTTTTCTTATGTGATTTCCCTATTATAAAATATCAAACTTTGAAATAAAAATGAATTCATTTACTACTTCACAAAATACACAACAAAACATAAGATTTATCCTTTAACATCATTTATTTATATTAATACATACATAATTTATTTATGTATGTGGCAGAACATTCATCTTTAGAACTGCAATGCATCCAAACCAGAATAGATGCGGGTATGACCACCGCTGGAGGTCTTCTAAGATGTTGCGTACAAGAGGCAGAAAGTTAGCATGGTAGAGATCGATTGGGTCAGCCGTCTCCCAGGTACCTAGATACTTGATTTTTTTTCTGTGCACCAAAGGAATTTGGGTTTCAGATTATCATATTCCTCTGTTGGGGTTGTGATATTGTTGTAGAATTATTAGGCCTCTATAAATCTGTAAGACCCCTTTAAATCCTCTTGCTATACCTCTAAGAGGCCCCCATAGTTTTACAAGAAAGCTTTGTCTATAGAACATAGAATTTGCATGTCAGCAAGAAATAGCTTTGATAAAATGTGTATTTACTAAAAGCCTTGAAACCTAGCCTTGAGAAACTAACAAGTGCCAGTTACGCTCTAAATGGATAGCTGCCAAAAGGCCCCTCCCGTCGAGTAAGCTCCTCATGTTAGCAAAATGGCGCTAAAACCTGGGGGAGAAAAGCATGACGTAGATAGTGACCTAAGAATGGGGAGGGCATTTTACTAACATCTTAGCACCTAAGCCAATTAACAATGTCTATTTGTCTATATCTTGATTTTCTTCAATGATGTAATAATGCCTTTAAAAGGGTCTGCGCACCCATTTTCTGGCAGAAGCCATTAAACTTCTCTGAAGTTCTTTCATTACCCTGAACCTTGTGTCTCAGTGTGAATTTACTTCTGCGTGCACGCAACTTTATTATCTTTAATTTGGACAGGAACAGATAGTCATTCAAACTAATTGGTTTGCAGTAAATTATCTACTACAAATTGGCGCCCAACGTGGGGCTCTGGGCTATGTCCTGCCTGGGCAGCTGTCCAAGAAGATGCTGGGGGGGTGAATCCTGGGGGAAGGAAAAGAGCCTGATCACCTCTGAGTACACGGTAGAGATTGCTGCAGCACCTAGCCGGTATGTTCCTACCCCTGTGATTGACCTGCCCAGTGTCTGTGACTGCTGCCGAGAGGACATCAAAGTCAGGTAATAACTTGCCCAGAGTCTTTGTATTGTTAATGATACCTAGTTTACCTGCATGTTGACTATCTGTTGCCTGGGTGTGTTTGTATTGGTATGTGTTTAACTTAGTACCCGGGGAGTGTAAGTGCCTGTTTAACTCCTTTTAGGTACCACATGCCTGTGGTAGTAAGGAAAAAGGGGGGTGGACCTGTGGAAGTTTTCCTGGGGGTCCTCTATTGCCTGTTTAACTCTTTTAGGAGCCACGTGGCTGTGGCTGTAAGGAAAAAGAGTAGGGGGAATCTGTGGAGGATGATGTAGACTCATTGCTTCCTGGGGGTTCCCCAGAGTGTCATTTTGACCGCTTAGCTTCTTGGTAAAATTCCAGTCTCGAGCGCTGAGGCAGGTAAGATTCCAATTCTTTAGGCTATACAGGATTCGGGTTGGAAGCTGTTGCTGTTTCCTGTGGCTGCTGGTAGTGAGACTTGCGGGTGGGTCCGCAACAGGGACACTACGAGGTTGAGGGAGGTGGCTTTTGGCCACACGAGTAAAGGCAAGGGATAAAACTGTTGAACTTATTTGAACTGTGATGCATGCACTGTATTTACACTGAAATGTTATTGTCTTAATTGTCTGTCACACAGATTCCTGTGTTTACTTTTATCTTACTCACTGTACTACTTACACTTTCCCCTCCTAGTTCTCTTTCTCTTTGTTGAGAGAAGTGATTGGTCACACACTTCTCGCCACGCTCCAATCCGCGGCTACCACGGGTAGGCGGAATCAGTGACTAGTCTACGTTTTGGGAAGACGTACTTGAAGAGCTTGCTCTTAAAGTAGCAGTCGAGCACGGTAGACGTTCTGTTCCTTTCTCTCTCTATATCTGGGACGCCTTGTATAGGGAGGATGGGACAGAAGTTAGATAAACCCAGTAAGGGTTGGTTAGCATGTGATCTAGTGGAAGACAGAGAAGGTTAAGAAAGTGAGTAAGATTGCTAAAGTATGTGGAATTACCGTACCTCTGTGCGGCAGATTGTAGCCAGAGAGCTGGCGTAAGTTACTGACAGAAGAAAGGGAAGCTGTCGGACCAAGATTTGGTTTGTACAGCAGAAGCCTGGTACCGAGTAGCAAGAGCTATTCAGCAAAAGGGATAGGTTGAGGAAGATATTGATCACAAAGGTTTAAGATTGTATGTATATCATAATAATTGTGTTACTGGGATGTTATCCCAGCAGTGCTCTGTCCAGGAGGTGACCACTTCCATCATCCTGTCAGTAATGACCGAAATGTAGCTGACCATGGTCACCATCCCACCCCAATCTTAAAACGCTGTGGGGGTTTTGTATTTTGTGTTAGCCATTACCCTGGTAGAGGGTGGGGGTATAAATGAAATGTTGTGTTTTTGTGTCTCTTTGCTTTGTAATGTAATTGTCCTTCTGTCTTGTTACTGTACAGCGTTGACATGGTTAAATTCGTGCTGGCAGGCAGTCTCTCTCTTGTTCCACTCAAATCCCCCTCTGCTAAAACACCCCCCCCTCCCCTCGCTTCTGTGAGACGCGGGGGGGGGTGGTGACATGCTTGCGATTTAGGTCTGTCTCTTCGGTGTTCTGTAGAGTTATTCAGAAGCTACTGATAAGAGTATAAGGTACTGAGGATTGTGGGAGTGACGAGCTCACAAGATTGCATTCAGTGTTGAATACGGGATTTAGGAAGGTGTAGAGGGAATATGCGATGTTGTTAAGTCAGTATAAGAGGAGGAAAGTGATTAATGGTTTGAGGAAGATAAGGGAATTTGGTTGAACTCCGCGAGTTTATTTTGCATCATTTTATTATTTTAAAGTTATTTTAAAGTACATGTTTCTAGAAACAGCTGTATGGGCTGTTAAATGCATAATGTTCTCAACTGTCTTATTTAACCTGCCAGGTCTGTTCATAGTTTAGTATTTCATTTTGCAGAACGGAATGTTGCTTCTCTGACTTATTTTAATAGTTATAATATAGTGTATTGTTGAAGGTGACGTCACTTCCGCCCTTACCATGCCCACACCTCCTGTCTTCCTTTCCCACATCTATCATGGACGTCATCTCACTTCCTCCCTTGCTGTCATTTCCTTCCCCGCCCCTGTCATGGCTGCCTCCATCATGAGGCCTACCCCTATTATGCTCGTCCCATTTAGATAATTACTGGAACAATCATGCCATTTGTTTCCCTGTATCAACAATTTGTCCGTGATATAAAAAAAAAAAAAAAAAAGAAGGTTGCTAAAATGTAATTTGCAACTGTGGTGTGACCTACAAATGAGATCTGTTGGACACGAATATAAGAGCATAACAGCTGATTATCCAGCTTCATCTTGCAACAAGGGAAATAGCTAAACAATGCAAGTTATTTTAAACATTGTATCTTTACTTAATCGAATCTTGCTAGTTACAGATCTTATGTTTACAGTAACATCCTTTACTTTAAATGATGGTTTAGCATTAGAAGGGTTTGTGACATGTTTATTAACCCAGCCACTACTGGTTATTCATTTTAGTTACAGGGTGGTATAATTGTTATAGTCTAATTGATATAAATGATAGTAACGCAATAGTTAATGTTTTATCCAAAGACATATAGGAACTTTACTTAACTTACTATTAACCATTATTTATAATGATAGACATGTTCAGACTGCAAAAAGCTATGGCTAATGACATACAAAAGGGGTTTGAGTCAGTAACACAGCCCATACTGAGGAGAGCAAACCCGCTGATGCTTAATGCCCCTGCCATGGCAGTGTCTTCAGGGGAACAAGGGGGGCCTCTAGCTACTGTAATTTTACCCATTGAGAGCCAGCCCACCACTTTCCTAGTTGACACAGGTGCAGCCCGAAGTGTTCTGAGAGAACAAGACCTGCCCGATATCTCATTTCTTTCCAATATTGATGTCTCCTGTGTTGGGGTGGACGGCCTTCCAAGGCAAAGTCCCCTGTCCACCCCTCTGCGGGTTGGTAACTGCCACAACTTGCTTGCTCGCTTTGTGGTATCTTCCACATGCCCCATTAACCTGTTAGGAGCTGATGTTCTTTCACGCCTGCAGGCATCCATCACCTTTACTCCAGATGGACAAGTGGAACTATCCACCCCTCTATC